GGAGAAGGAGGAGGAAGAGGAGGAGCAGGATGAGGAGGAGGAGGAAGAGCAATCTGGAGGGGAGGAGGGAGGAGGAGGGGGGAGGGAGGAGGAGGAGGGAGGACGAAGGAGGAAGAGGAGGAGGAGGGAGGAGGGGGAGGAGGACGAGGAGGAGGAGGAGGAGGAGGGGAGGAGGAGGAGGAGGAGGACTAGCAGATGGAGTTGGGGAGGGGGAGGCGGTGGAGGAACAATAGGATGGTGATGATGCTGATGATGATGCTGCTGCTGATGATGATGATGATGATGATGCTGATGCAGATGCTGATGCTGCTGATGATGATGATGATGATGATGATGATATGATGATGATGCTGATTATGATTATGATGATGATGATGCTGATGCTGATGCTGATGCTGATGCTGTGGCTGATTCTGATGATGCTGATGCTGATGATGATTAGGATATGGAGGAAGAGGAAGAGGCTGGAGGAGGAGGAGGAGGAGGAGGAGGAGAGGGATGAGGATGTGGAGGTGGTGGAGGAGGAAGAACAGGAGGACAGGGAGGGAGGCGGGGGAGGAGGGGGAGGAGGAGGAGGATGAGGATGATAATGAGGACGAGTAGGAAGAGGAGGAGGCGGAGGAGGAGGAGGAGAAGGACCAGTGTAAACCCAAGACCTATCAACTATGTTTGGATACACCCTCCCTCCAAGCTCCTTCTGCGTAGGCCCCATAAGAATAGTCACTTCCACTGAGGGACGTGCTCCGTTGTGAGACAACCGTGTGATAATCCGGAAACGTGCCCAAACACCATTCTTCGGACTTCAACGCCACGAGTCAACCTGAGTGTTGCGTCTGGACGATCCCGAATCGTGCAAGGACTCCATTCTTGGAAATTCAACACAGCGAGTCAGCGCAACTGTTGCGCCCTGACAATTCGGAAGCGTTCGAAAACATTATTTCTTGAATGTTAACAATGAGAATCCAGGAGCCTGCGTCAAATTTTGAAAACCAATGTGCGCGGCGCTCAGGCGAGAACCACATTTTGAAACAAAAGCCGCCCTCAATCCATGAAGGTCTTGTACACTGTTGAAACGAATGTGCGCGGCGCTACAGCGCGAACCACATTTTGAAAACGACCCGCCCTCAATCCGTGAATCTTTTGCAATATTTAAGACGAATGTGCGTGGCGCTAAAATGAGAACGACATTTGGAACGACATTTGGAATACGACCTGCCGTCAATCCGTGACGCTCGTGCAAGTTTTGAAAACCAATGTGTGCGGCGCTAAGGCGAGAGCTACATTTTGAAAACAACCCGCTCTCAACCCGTGGATTTTTTTACGGCAAAAGCGCGCGGCGCCGAGGCGAAAACTGCATTTTGGAAACCACCCGCCTTCAACTCGTAAAACTCTTTTAAGCAGTAGTGTTGAGACGAATGTGCGCGGCGGTGTGGCGAGAGCCACATTTTGGAAACGACCCGCCGTGCAATTGTGAAACTGTTGCTTGTTTTGAAACCTCAGGCTCATCAGCAGGAAATCTCAGGCGAAACGCCCAGCCCACCCTTCCGACCGGCCTCGGCGTGTGACACGGGGAAGTTATGCATAAGAAAAAGGAATGGAGGAGGAGAAGGAGGAGGAGGCGTAAGAGGACCACTGCTAACCCCAGACTCATCAACGATGCTGAAAGTCACCCTCCCTCCAAGATCCCTCTCCTCATAGGCCCCTACAAGTGGCCATCTCCACAGAGGGAGTTGCCACTTTGAGGGACACACGTGTGAACATCTTGAAGCGCGCCAAAGCACCATTTTAAGGAATCCAACGCCACGAGTTAACCTGACTGGTATGTCTTGTGTTCCTGAATTTTGCCAGAACGCCATTCCTGGGACGCAAACGCCGCGAATCATAGTATCTGTTGCGCCCTGACAGTCCTGAGAGGTTCCAAGACACATTTCTGGCACGCTAGCCATGATAATCAGTGGAACTTTTGCGAATGTTGAAAAAGAGTGTGCTCGGCGCTAAGGCGAGAGCCACATGTTGAAGAGGAAGCGCCATCAATCCGTGAAACTCGTGCACAATTGTAGATCGATTGTGCGTGGCGCTAAGGCGAGGGCCACATTTTGAAAACGACCCGCCATCAATCCGTAAAGCTCATACAGATTTTTAGACATGATGTGCGCGGCGAGATCTTGCTTAAAACGAATGTGCGCGGCGCTAAGGCAAGATCCACATGTAAAACGACCCGTCCTCAATCCGTGACATTCGTGCATTTTTTTTGGACGAATCGCGCGGCGCTGTTGCGAGAGCCACGTTTTGAAAAAGGAACCGCCCTCAATCCGTGAAGCTCTTGCAATTTTAGGAACGAATGTGCGCGGCGCAAAGGCGAGAGCCACATTTTGGAAGCGACCCGCCTTCCATTTTTGAATCTATGGCAACTGTTCGATCGAATGTGCGCAGCGCTGTGGCGAGAGCAACACTTTGAAAGCCACCCGCCCTCGGTTTTCGAAACTGCTCTCAGTTTTTG